ATATATGCGGATATATATATATATATATATATATATATATATATATATATATATATATATATATATATCAATTATAAGAAACTGATCTATTAGTTTCATCAAATGTTGTTATTAAAATGTATCTATTTTCATATCTGTTAAACTCTCATTAAAAATCTGAAGATGGCAATTTAATTTAATTAAAGGTTATATCACTTAGCCCCTGAGGCTTACTGTCTTTATCGCCTTGCTTGGTGTGAACAGATAAACAAAATAATGATAGCAGGAGAAACAACAGCTTAATTTACAAATATCAAAAAAACACAATAAGTGAAATATTAATGAAAGAGACAAAAGTGAAATATTACATAGAGCAACAAAAGAGGGGGAGTTGTAGAGAGGCTTGATGACCGACGTACTGAAGGAATTTGTCGTATAAATAAAAAATATTTCCATGTGGAATCTTAATGTTCCTGTTCTTCTTTGTAATTTTAATTATCGGCCTCCTTTACAGTGAAAATGTGTTTCCTTTTGGTATATTACCAACCAGACTGGAGAGAATTCGAAGCCAGTAGAGTACAAATCTACAAATTACTAGATCTTGCATAATTTGTAAATTATAAAATCGAGCTGCCAACTTTTATCACGGAGAAACTATTTTAACCACTGAACGGGCTTTTTGCATTTTTCTTATTATTTCCGTCCTCTTTGTTTTGTATAGCTGGAGCTTTTCAGTTTTCATTTTTACTATCCTGATTATTTATCGATCAATGCTTCTGATAAACTGCTTTACTAACTACATTCTGCTAGGGTGCATCTACGAGCGTTGCAATTTTCTAACTTTGATCAGGGAGCGCCTTACCGGCCTTAGAGCTTGGATCAGTGTGTAGTATCAGGTATCCTGCACTCTGCCTTGGCAATCCCAGAAAAAATTTTATGCGGCAAATTCTCCTCATTATTACTAAGAAAAAATGAATAGTGTAAAACGAAAGAAGCCTGATAGCGGTCCCGGGGACTAGGCAATGTTGGGGCTTCTCCTAAAAGTACGCCTATGAGCAAACCATATTAAAAACGGAATTGTGTCATATAACAAGGTTAAGTGAATATCAACTGCGATCAGAATGTAGAAATATGTTCTCCTTTGATGTGTTTTTGTTTTTCATATAAAAATAGTAGCTTAATTAACATGTAAACTATACTGGAAATAAAATTAATATGTTCCATAACCCTTGCGAGGATAAACCCTTTCGTTGCGGAGTAATGAGCTGAAATCATAACAAAATAGGTTAAGATTCTGCTAGACACGTATAATAAATTGGACACAATTGAAAAATTGTCTCATTTGTAAAAGCGATGCGGCAAGTATTGACCCTTTAATATCAGGGTGGCCGAACTTACCCACCAAAAAAAAAAAAAAAAAAAAATAGGGTAGGAATGTTCTTAATTATAACAATAATATCTCGTCCATATGTACCCAGATCCAAAGGAGATAGAGGATTATTTTATCTAGAACTGTCATGCAAGTCTACAACAATTGGTCATCAAAGATACCTAGAAACTACAGAAGACTGGATGATGATCTGTATCAAAGAGCATGAACGTAGTAAGCGACTATATACAATAAAAAAGGAAACCAACAACTTCAAAATGGAGTTTCAAGTGGATGTTCAAATGCAAGTAAAGCATAATAAACTGAGTGAAAAAAGAAAGCAAAGGCAAATGCAACCAACCAGATACAGAAGCGATGGCGAGATAAACAGCTTCATGGTCAATACACTGACCGTATCAAACAAGGTGATGTAGACAAATTCACTACCCGTCAATGGCTACGTAATGCAGCGTTAAACTCTGAAAACGAAGCTTTTATTCTTGATGCACAGGATCAATGCTAGAACTTACAAAGCCCACATATTAAAATGCTGTGTTAGTCAAAATAATCAGATTCTATGATAAATATTCATAAACAATTGAGCATCTTGTATCAGGTTGCACGGTATTGGAGCCCACTGAATATAAAACACAGCACGACAAATTGGGCCAATATCTGCACTGGAAAACCTGCAACACTTACGGAATGGAAACTAAAAGAAATTGGTATGAACACTACCAGACTAGGTTACAGAGTTCGGATCTGGAACAATTTTATGGGATTCTATAATACACGCAGACAGTATAATCAAAGCTAATTGCCATAACATCGTGATTATAGACCGTAAAGACAATCTGCTTCTCCTTATTATCACGGATGTCCCTGCAGGCTGCAATATATCTTTGAAGATTTTCAAAAAACTATCAAAATACAAGGAGCTTGAAATCGAAATCTGAAAAATGTGGCGCATGAGGACATTAACAATTCCAGTTGAAGTTAGAATCTTCAGATTTATTGGAAAAGATTCCAATAGGCTTGCTGAAGGAATTCCTGGTAGACCATGCCTTAAAAATACAAAAAATTGTACTCACAAGTACAGCCTACACCTTACGAAGGGATTTATCTATGTAAAACATGTGTGATTTTTTTTCAAACTGCTCAGTGGAAAATATCATAATGCTATTTCTGACCTTAGATCTCTAGTCGAGACCCGGAAAGAAATTACTATACACCAGAAACCAAAGGAAATAATAATAATAATGATTCCTGGAAATCCATGCCTCAAGGAGATACCAAAAATTGTTCTGACAAGTACAGCCCACACTTTACGAAGGGCTTTATCTATGTAATTTTTTTTTCAGTGGAAAGCGTCATGATGCCATTTCTAAATTTAGGTTTGGGCCAGGACCGGGAAAGATTTTGTAAACCCCAGAAATCAAAGATAATAATAATAATAATAATAATAAATACACAAAATAGCTCAAAAAAAAATAAAACCATCTATTTTACATGGATGACTTAAAATTGTATGCTAGGAATGACAATGAGCTGGAAGGTCTTATGTAAACTGTAAAATGCTTCAGTGAAGACATTGGAATGAAATTTAATTTGGATAAATGTGCTAAAGCTACAGTTTTACGAGGATCGCTACAACAAACTTCGTTTCTATTAGTTTAGACCTGCTGTAACAATAAAAAGATTTAGAACAAGGAGAAGCTTATAAGTACCTAGGTGTAAATGAGAGTGAAGGAATTCACCATAAGAAAATGAAAGAAATAGTGCGTAAAAGTACTATAGAATCTTTACGACTGGTATTAAAACTGAATTGAATTCTCAGAACAGAATTATGGCCATTAATAACCTTTGCCATCCCAGTGGTCCAATATAGTTTCAACATCTTGAACTGGACTCTAAATGACATCAGACAAATGGATTCTAAAACAAGAAAGCTTCTTTCTAAGTATAAGATGCATCATCCAAAGGCTGATGTAGACCGTCTATACATACCCCGTAAAGAAGGTGGAAGAGGTCTTATTCAGCTAGAATTGTCATACAAGACAACAACTATTGGCTTACTAACTTACATGGAAACAACAAATGACTGGATGATAAAATTAGTGAAACAACATGAAAACAGAAAGAAAAAATATTCAATAATAAAAGAAGGCAGTAAATACAAACAACATTTACATTTAGTAGATTCTGTAGTAAATCAAAACAGAAGCCAAGAACCAACTATTGCAGCAAAAGATATGAAAAAGAAAGCCAAGGATAAAGCCCTTGAACAGATGAAACAACGCTGGCAAGACAAACCTCTGCATGGCCAATATCCAGAACGTGCAAATAAACCCAATGTTGATAAAGTTAATACTCATCGATGGTTACGAGCATCTGGATTAAAGTCTGAAACTGAAGGCTTTATTCTTGCAGCGCAAGACCAGAGTCTTTTCACTAGGAATTTTCAGGCAAATATCATACATAATAATGTGGATCCAAAATGCAGGTTCTGTGACAAATACCAAGAAACAATAGACCATCTAATCTCAGGATGTTCTATACTTGCCCCAAATGAATATAAAAATCGTCACGATAGAGTGGGGCAATACTTACACTGGACAATGTGCAAACACTTTGGAAAATGTGTAAGCAAACACTGGTATGAACATCGGCCAGCGCCGGTTACAGAAATAGAAGATGTCACCATTCTATGGGATTATACCATCCACACAGACAGAAAAATTGAAGCAAATAGGCCGGACATCATTGTCAAAAACCAGAAAGAAAAAACTTGCCTACTAATTGATATGGCTTGTCCAGCGGATTGTAACATAGCAACCAAGGAATTTGAAAAACTATCAAAATACAAAGACCTGGAAATTGAAATAGAAAAAATGTGGAAATTGAAAACAAGAATAATACCAGTGGTAATAGGTGCACTTGGAATTATAAAAAATGGAACAAAACAACACATTGAAAAAGAATCCCTGAAACCCCAGCTTAAAGAGACATACAGAAAATTGTCTTATTAAGTACAGCACACACACTAAGGAGAACTTTGTCTATGTAACGCTAGCAACTTCATCGGAGATAAAAAAAAAAAAAAAAAAAAAATTAACATGAAATGTGGCCATAACAACACACCACGACCTGCCTTAGGTCTTTCCGCAGACTTGGTCGGTAGTGTGTCCATAGCAGAAATCGAATGATGATGATGATAATAATAATAATAATAATAGTTTTATTCTTTTACGATTATTCTTTTTTACAATTAATTTAGTTAAAAAGACTAGATGGTTGCAACGACTATAATATTGTTTTTTTTTAAATAATTAACAACTAATCTGATTAACAGGAGCATCCGCAACTGCAGTAAAATAAATAGCAATAAAAATAACCATGTTTTTCATAATTATAAAGGTATAATCTATTATTTAAACATAATCTGGTATAATAATGTTTTGTTTCGTTGAATACCTTCAATTTCCAATGTTTTTTTTCCAACGTCTCTTGGCAACCCATCTAGGAGAATGAAAAACCCTAGTAACAACCCGCAAATGAATGTGCCGAGGATTGACTGGCTGCTGCGTTAAAATGTCGCGAACGATCCCCTACAGGCTTCTGAACCCTGTCTGTAAAAGACCGTTACTTAATGTGCCGTGTTGAGTCAAATTAAGCCGCAGGCTCCACTCCTGGTGGTGCCCTTCCGTCAATTCCTTTAAGTTTCAGCTTTGCAACCATACTCCCCCCGGAACCCAAAGACTTTGGTTTCCCGGAAGCTGCCCGGCGGGTCATGGGAATAACGCCGGCGGATCGCCGGTCGGCATCGTTTATGGTTGGAACTAGGACGGTATCTGATCGTCTTCGAACCTCCAACTTTCGTTCTTGATCGAGGAAAACGTGCTTGCCACACGCCATCGCTGCAGTTCGTCCTGCGACGGTCCAAGAATTTCACCTCTAACGTCGCAATACGAGTGGCCCTGACCGCTCCTTCGATCATTGCCTCGCCCTAGACGGAGACCGACAGACGTAGACGAGGCCCTCTTCCATCATTCCATGCTTATCGTATGCAAGCTTGAAAAGCCCGCTTTGAGCACTCTAATTTTTCAAAGTGAACGTACCGGCCGCCGCGGACACTCGGTCAAGAGCACCCTTGGAGGAGAAACCGCCGACCGCGCACGCGCGCAAAACGGACGCGAAGATTAGACGCGGAGGTAGGTAGAGCAGGGCCGAGGTGAGTGGAGAACGAGAGGGGAAGAGGGGCCGCCGCGCGGATAGAACAGCGGCAGTGAAGCCCGCGGCGACAACGCGAGACGGGCGACGCGACGCCCGCCCTTTTTAGGCGACGACGGCGACGCAGACGACGAGTGAACGCCGCTGGCCGCCATCGACTGGGAGAAACGCCGCGTTGGACCGCACCGTCTTAACCGCGCGCGCCACGTAACGACCCGGCGACACTGCACCGCAGACGGCGACGCTCGCAGGAACCCCCACGCAACCTCCGCGGCGAACCCGCCGGAAACACCCTACTCCCCGCGTTACTTCGCCGGCAGGACCACGTGGCGGATATGCAAGCGGTTGACACCGGCGGAAAAGGGCCGGGAATGCGCACGGACGACCAAAGTCAACGACGGACGATGGCGCCGCCGCCCCGGGGCCGCGAATGCGACCACGAACCTGGAGTTCGGACTATCAAGCTTTTTAACCGCAACAACTTTAATATACGCTACCGGAGCTGGAATTACCGCGGCTGCTGGCACCAGACTTGCCCTCCGGTTGGTCCTCGTTAACGGATTTGAGTGTAGCTCATTCCGATCGCGGGGCCTCGACAGAGTCCCGCGTCGTTATTTTTCGTCACTACCTCCCCGTGCCGGGAGTGGGTAATTTGCGCGCCTGCTGCCTTCCTTGGATGTGGTAGCCGTTTTCGCTAAGGCGCATTACGGGAGTCCGGCAACTTAGGCATTTAACGATTCTACGGGACTTACGCACATGCCTCGTAATGCGCATTACGGGAGTCCGGCTACGGCAAACGAAGGCCTTCGACAAAAATTACGCACTTTACGCACTCACCTTCCAAGGCGCATTACGGCAGTCCGGCTACGGTAAACGAAGGCCTTCTACGGGACTTACGCACATGCCTCTTAAGGCGCATTACGGAGTCCGGCTACGGTAAACGAAGGCCTTCGACAAAATTACGCACTTTACGCACTCACCTTCAAGGCGCATTACGGCAGTCCGGCTACGGTAAACGAAGGCATTCGACGAACTTAGGCATTTAACGATTCTACGGGACTTACGCACATACCTTGTAATGCGCATTACGGGGAGTCCGGCTACGGCAAACGAAGGCCTTCTACGGGACTTACGCACATGCCTCTTAAGGCGCATTACGGGAGTCCGGCTACGGCAAACGAAGGCCTTCGACAAAATTACGCACTTTACGCACTTACCTTCTAAGGCGCATTACGGGAGTCCGGCTACGGTAAACGAAGGCCACCGAACTTAGGCACTACTTCGGGCTGGTGGTCCCATGACCACTGTTCAGGCACGACGCACTCCGGCTACGGCAAACGAAGGCATTCGACGAACTTAGGCATTTAACGATTCTACGGGACACGCACTTGCCTCGTAATGCGCATTACGGGAATCCGGCTACGGCAAACGAAGGCCTTCGACAAAATTACGCACTTTACGCACTCACCTTCCAAGGCGCATTACGTCAGTCCGGCTACGGTAAACGAAGGCATTCGACGAACTTTGGCATTTAACAATTCTACGGGACTTACGCACATAACTCGTAATGCGCATTACGTGAGTCCGGCTACGGCAAACGAAGGCCTTCTACGGGACTTACGCACATGCCTCTTAAGGCGCATTACGGGAGTCCGGCTACGGCAAACGAAGGCCTTCGACAAAATTACGCACTTTTACGCTCACTCAAAAAGGCGCATTACGTCAGTCCGGCTACGGTAAACAAAGGCCTTCTACGGGAGTTACGCACATGCCTCTTAAGGCGCACTACGGGAGTCCGGCTACGGCAAACGAAGGCCTTCGACAAAATTACGCACTCACCTTCCAAGGCGCATTACGGCAGTCCGGCTACGGTAAACGAAGGCATTCGACGAACTTAGGCATTTAACGATTCTACGGGACTTACGCACATGCCTCGTAATGCGCATTACGGGAGTCCGGCTACGGTAAACGAAGGCCACCGAACTTAGGCACTACTTCGGGCTAGTGGTCCCATGACCACTGTTCAGGCACGACGCACGTCCGGCTACGGCAAACGAAGGCATTCGACGAACTTAGGCATTTAACGATTCTACGGGACTTACGCACATGCCTCGTAATGCGCATTACGGGAGTCCGGCTACGGCAAACAAAGGCCTTCGACAAAATTACGCACTTTACGCACTCACCTTCCAAGGCGCATTACGGCAGTCCGGCTACGGTAAACGAAGGCCTTCTACTGGACTTATGCACATGCCTCTTAAGGCGGAATACAGGAGTCCGGCTACGGCAAATGAATGCAGTACGTGTAACAACCTTCGATTTGTCAGGAAAGTCGGTTCTGGCGCGCAAGTGTTCTCCTCGCTACAAAAACCGCTCACCTGTCTGTTGAAACGGAGAAATAGAAATAAAACTGATATCATACGAACGAAGGATATCGGAACACGGAGTTCTTTGAACTAAGTCAGCGTCGTCCCTCGTGGAGGACGAGTCGGTCGAGGGCTGCTTAGTCTCAATAGATCGCAGAGTGGTTGGAATTCGTTGAACTAAGTAAGAGTCGTCCCTCGCGGAGGACGAATCAAGTCGGTCGAGGGCTTAGTCTCAATAGATCGCAGTGTGGTGGATGCTCTACTAAGTACGACACCCCGAGCCTGAAGTCAAGTGGTCTACGAGCGATCCTCGTCTCACGCTCCACGGGGGTTCGTAATTCGACGGCGACGGCAAAATCCCGCCTGTCGCGGATGTCAAATCAGGTGGCCCGTTCGCAGACGCCGCCACGTTCAAGGTGACAACAGCCGAAGTAGCGGACGCGCACGGCGACGACGAGCGCCACCGACGCGGACCACGACGACCGCAACCGCCCCTAGCGACAACGACGCCCGCTATGGCAGGCTCCAGCGGAACGAAAGAGACCTTTCGTAATACCGTGACGGCACCGGTCGCGGTTCCGGCTTAGAGGCTTTCAGCCGTTATCGCGCGGAGGCAGCGTGGCACCGACGCTCGTTCGAGCGAGCACGCGAACCGTTGCTCCGATCCCGCGGTTCTCTCGTACTGGACAGGATAGCCGTGGCACGACCGACGTAACACGTGTCGATCGGTAGGATAAAACTAACCTGTCTCACGACGGTCTAAACCCAGCTCACGTTCCCTGTCAGTGGGTGAACAATCCAACGCTTGGCGAATTCTGCTTCGCAATGATAGGAAGAGCCGACATCGAAGGATCAAAAGCGACGTCGCTACGAACGCTTGGCCGCCCAAGCCAGTTATCCCTGTGGTAACTTTTCTGACACCTCTCGGCGGAATGGAGCTCTCCGCTCGGAAAGGATCGATGGGCCACGCTTTCGCGGTCCGTATTCGTACTGAAAATCGAGATCGAGCGAGCTTTTGCCCTTTTGCTCCACGCGAGGTTTCCGTCCTCGCTGAGCTCGCCTTGGGACACCTGCGTTACCGTTTGACAGACGTACCGCCCCAGTCAAACTCCCCGCCCAGCACGGTCCCGGCTAAGGGTCGAGCGCGGGCCCCAATCGGCGGAGCCCGCGCCCTTGGCGTAGCAAAGAGGGCCGCCGAGCGACCCGTCCCCTTTTTCACCGGGTGAGCGAGGAAACGACGGAAGTGGCGGTATTTCAGGTTCGACGACACCGAACGACGCCGGTCACGGCGAAGGCCGGAAAACCGGGACGAACGAAACGCCAGCACACCGAGGAGGCGGAGGCCCCGCCCAACAGAGAAGAAAACGGAAGCAGGAGGCGAAGAGTGAACGACGACGACGAGAGGCGAACCCCCCACCACCGGCCGCAAACCCAAGTCCCCACGACCGCATCCGCTACCGCCAAACGAAACCGACCCCCACGGCAACCGACGGCCGCCGCCCAGCCCCGATCAACGCGCTCCCAACGCCGACAAAGGCGTGTCTCCCGCCTATGCTACACCTCCCGTGTCTCCTCACAGAGTCGGACTAGAGTCAAGCTCAACAGGGTCTTTTTTCCCCACCGATCGTTCCAAGTCCGTTCCCTTGGCTGTGGTTTCGCTAGAATTAAATAATTTCGCTAATTAAATAATTAACAACTAATCTGATTAACAGGAGCATCCGCAACTGCAGTAAACTAAATAGCAATAAAAATAACCATGTTTTTCATAATTATAAAGGTATAATCTATTATTTAAACATAATCTGGTATAATAATGTTTTGTTTCGTTGAATACCTTCAATTTCCAATGTTTTTTTCCAACGTCTCTTGGCAACCCATCTAAGAGAATGAAAAACCCTAGTAACAACCCGCAAATGAATGTGCCGAGGATTGACTGGCTGCTGCGTTAAAATGTCGCGAACGATCCCCTACAGGCTTCTGAACCCTGTCTGTAAAAGACCGTTACTTAATGTGCCGGGTGACTTTGGGTGGACTTTTGGACCCGTGCGTCACTCATGGGAAACATATGAGAACTAAAAGTCAAACTAAAATTCCCGTATGGTTTTCCAGTGGATAAACAGGGAGCCCATCCCCCATGTGAGGACCTACCTGAGGTCGAAACATCTGCCATAGGAACAAACTCCTACAAAAATAATAAATCTTCAGGTCACCACAACTGGTATAATCTCTATGATGGCCCTGCGAATTCTCCAACTAGATCCACAAACATTCATTTAAAGAAAGGTAAAATAGCCTCGTGAGTAGTACAGAATCGTTATGACCCCATTCTATAAAGTGGTGCACAAACCCCCAAAAAGCATCACTCGCCAAACATATGACATTTGGCGAGAAAAGGATGGACAGCCATTAGAAAGTACATTGACGAAAATAGGCTAGCCAATGTAAGAAGGTATATTATGAGAAAGTCAGACACAAAGTATTGAAATGAAGGAAAGAGAACAACTCCCAAAATTACAAACAACAAAGCATAACCTCAAAATTATTATAAACTCTTCAATGTAGCACTCAAATTAATACTGGATGAAGTAGACACACATATAAATCTCAGCGAAGCAATATATGGATCGGCAATGGTAGCAACTTAAAAATTAAGCATCAAATTTAAAAACAGTCAGTCTCACAAATATGAACATCTACCTTGGAAAAAATATACAAACCAAAATTCTACAGACAGAAGAAGGTCAGACAAACCATTCCGAATAAATTTTACAGAGAAATAGGCAAATATAAAACTGAAGTGACCTCCACACACACACACACACACACACACACACACACACACACACACGCACACACACACACACACACACTCAAAATTGGAATTGGGGAAAATATGGACTTGCCCTAAATAACTTAACGAAGAAGAAGATTGGATTCGATGGTAAACGGATGAAAATAAGCCAGAACAAAGATGGCCGGGAATCACAGAAGAGGATGTTGAATGTGCACTGAAAAAAAGCACAAAAATCATCAGGAAAAATAACATTCATATGTTTTGGCTCTATTATCTAAACACAACCCACAAAAAGTAGCCAAGAAACCTCAAGAAAAGGTCAATGATTCTACTAATTTTCCCGCATGGGTAGCCAAATGAATTACCTTCCTTCTACCCAAGAATGGTGACACAAATATAAAAAAAATTACAGGCCAATACCAATATTCTCGCTACTTATAAAGTGCTGACATCTATTCTCACAAAATAGGCATATTTCGTCTTACAAAAAAAATGACATACTGCCACCTGAATAAAAATGATACCAACGTGGCTAAATACAAATTACTTATTAATAGGATGATCATGGAAAACTGCTTCAATTCAAATAAAAATCTCAGTACTACTTCATAGATTACTGTAAGGCATTCGATAGTGTACATTATTCCTGAATATTAAAGTCTTTAAATATATACAAGGTATCACCTGTCGTCATCAATCTCATCAAAAGCATGGAAAACAACACTTCACATCAATCATGTAAATGGAGTCTATAAGTTTTGTGAAATAAACATCAACAGTATAATATTTCAAGTTGACTCATTGTCTCCTTTACTATTTTGTATATACCTAAAAGCATTAACGATTAAAAGAAAATCAGCTATTTTACATGGATGGCTTAATGTTGTATGGTAGGAATGGCAGTGAGCTGAAAGGTAGGAAAACAGTATAAAGTTTCAGTGATGTCATTGGAATGGAATTCGGTTTGGATAAATGTGCAAAAGCCACAATTTTACGGTGGATCATTACAATGAACCTCCTCTATTAGCTCAGGCTCTGGGATATCCAAGATTTAGAGCAAGAAAAATCTTATAAGTATAAATGGAGGCGAAGGAATTCATCATTAAAAAAAATAACGAAATAGTACGATAAGTTTAATATAAAAGTGTGCAACTAAATTGAATTCTCAGAACATAAATATGACCATTAACAGTTTTGTCATCCCAGTCGTTCAATATAGTTTCGACATCTTGAACTGAACTCTAAATGATATCAGATGAATGGATTCGAAGTCAAGAAAGCTTCTTTCTAAGCATAAAATGCATCATCGAAAGGTTGATACAGACCGTCTATACATAGTCCATAAAGAAGGTGGAAGGGGTCTTATTTAGTTAGAATTATCATACATGACAACAACAATTGGCTTAATAACATACATGGAAATGGACAGGATTGATACAATTAGTCAAGCAACACGGAAAAATATTCAGTCATAAAAGAAGTTTGTAAATACAAACGAGATTTACATTTAATAGATTCTGTAGAAAACCGAAACAGAACCCAAGAAGCAAATCTTGCATCATAAATTGTGAAAAATACAGTCAAGTATAAAGCTCTTGAACAGAGGAAACAATATTGGTAAGAGAAATCTCTGCATGGCCAACATCCAGAACGTGCTAGCCGATGTTAATAAAGTTAGCACTAATCGATTATGAGCATCTAGATTAAAGGCAAAAACGGGAGGATTTATACTTGCAGCGTAACATCAGTTTTTTACTCGAAATTTTCAAGTAAAAATCACACATAATAGTATCGATCCAAAATACAGTTTCTGTGACAAATAAAAAAGAGAATGTGCTTCTTGATTGACATAACAGTTCCTGCAGATTGTAATGTATTTTGGAATATCTTCAAACAACTAACAAAATACAAAGATCTTTGGAAATTTAAAAAATGTGGCATATGAGTATATCAATAACCCCAGTTGTATTGGAGCCCTCAGTTTGATTGGAAAAGTTACCGATAGAAACATCGAATAGATTTCTGGTATCCCATGCCTTATGAAAATACAAAAAATATTGTACTCACAAGTTAAGCTAAAAACTAACGAAGAGCTTTATCTATGTAAAATGTGTGCGATCTTTGTTTTCACTAAAATAATTGGTGGAAAATATAATGATACATTTCTGATCGTAGGTGTCTTGTTGAGACCCCAAAATAAATTGGAATAAAGCGTAAATCAAAAGAAAAGAAATAATAATAATAATAATAATAATAATAATAATAATTATTATTATTATTATTATTATTATTATTATTGTAATAAACCTATAGACATAGCTATCCTGTCAGATTAAAATAATCATCTCAAAAAACAATTTCGGTATATAAGGACCTGATAATTGATATTGCATGAATATGATATTTTAATGATAATTATAATCAATAATAATAGTAAAACTCGAAATGACTGAAACAAAAGATTGAGGCACATTATGAAAATGAAATGACTTTATTCATGAGCACCGCTCACAGGTTCAGAGTTACATTTCACGTAAATTAATACACTCAAATGTTTTTCCGGCCATTGTGCAACTTGCTGTTCACTTAGAAAATGGACAGAGGATGTACCTCACCGAACAAAACGCCTAGCAGGTTGCGGAAAACCCTAAAGACATAACCCTAACGGCTTTCTTTAAATTATGCTCAACAGATGCTTTTGAGAAAACATTGATATACCCCCAAGTCCCGTCCCACTACGTGTGGTCAAACAACCGGTGGGTTCGGCGAAAGGCTGGCGACCCTGTCGAGGGTTATCCCGATGTAAGTTCTAACTCTTGCCTTGGACGCGTTTATACTGTGCCCCCCAACCCCAGCCAGCAGGAGTGCTTTTACTTCCGCCTTCTACTTCATAAAATTGCTGGGCCACCGAGTTTCACAGATATTCGCACTGTCAACGGCATAGAGTGCCAGTCATATAGAAAGGCATACTTCCGTTTGGGATTGCTTGAAGACGACTCCCAATGGGATGCAGCCATGGCGGAGGGTGAACTTCTCAGAACGTTATCACGGCTTCGAACGCTGTTGGCCATTTTGCTTTTGCGATGCGAACCTAGCGATCCTCTGGCTAAAGTACAGAGAATCCATGTCAGTGGATGTGCTGTTCTCCGTTCAGCGTAATAGCCTAGGAGTTGAATGCGGTTTCACTGACTTCATATTCAACAGAGCGCTGGTGGCCATAGAAGATGTTGTTTTCGAACTGTGAGGTGCCTATATACCAACTTACGGTTTACCACCACCGCTCAGAGACGGTTTTGACACTGTACCAACTGAGTTATTGCGGGAAACATCTTACTCCTTCGAGGGTCTGAAAGCTTACATTACCGAAAACGAGCCCAAACTTCTACCTGACCAGAGGGTTGCTTTCCCTACCATAACAGACAGGGCAAACGGCTCCAGTGGAGGTATATATATTTTAGATGCGCCCGGAGAAACTTGCAAAACTTTTGTTAATTAGTCCTGGCAGGGCTACGACATCGTGAGGAGATCGCTATTGCGGCCGCATCTTCCGGGATTGCTGCAACGTTGCTACCGGGAGGTAGAACCGCTCATTCGGGTTTTTGGGTTGCTGCTTGATCTATGCCGGTCACAAACTCCTCTCTGCAACATAACAAAGAATTCGCCACAGGCTGAAGTTCTGCTGAGATGCAAACTTATAGTTTGGGTTGAGTACACGATGGCACACAAGGGCGCCCTTGAGGCACTTGACCGAAGTCTCCAAGACATCCGCGACTCCTCTGACACCATGGGTGGAGTAACCCTTCTCTCGCAGGCGACTTTAGGCAGACTCTACCTGTTATTCCTAAAGGTACACCCACTGACGCTGTCTGCGCCTGCCTGAAATCGTCTGCCCTTTGGCGCCACGTGGAGACTCTTAAACTGAGTACGAACATGCGTGCCTACTTGAATGGGGACTCCAGATCCGCTGACTTCGCACGGGACCTTCTTGCTCTTGGGGAGGGGAAAATGCCATCTAACACACAGGGTTTTGTGCAGATAGATCAGCTTGCCACCTTGTTGAATCCCCGGATGAATTGATGAATGCAGTCTTCTACAACCTATCCACTAATTTTGCCGATGCCGATTGGCTTGCCGGGAGGGCCATATTGGCACCGAAGAACTGTACAGTTGATTCCATCAACCTTAACTGTTGGATTGCATTCCCGGGCAATGTCATGTTTATAAGTCCATCATCAGAACTTCCGATCCATCTGAATTAGCTGAGTATCCCATAGAAGTTTTGAACTCCCTTCAGCCGTCCGGACTCCCACCTCATATTCTTCGGCTCAAAGTTGGTGCTCCGATTATGCTAATCAGGAATTTGCTCCCACCTAAACAGTGCAACGGGGACTCGCCTCATTATTAAATCCCTTTCTCCGAACCTGATTGAGGCGACCATCAGACTCAAGCATATCAATGATCTTTCGTCACCCACAATTTCCCGTGAAGCTTTGCTTTGCTACGTCCATTAACAAATCACAAGGACAGACGCTTAGCATTTCAGGTCTGCATTTACGTGAGCAGTACTTCTCTCACGGCCAACTTTACGTTGGGTGCTCACGAGTTGGGTCTAAGGACAGGGTGTTCATTTACTCTCCCAACAACTGTGCTAGAAACATAACCTACACGGAGGTCCTGTAGACAACCCGCCCGGTATCGTTTAAGCGCCATGCACACATATGCAGTCCGATTGCATGGCATGTTTTTTTGTTTGCCTTATTGGTTTTAACGTTAGATCGTCGTAGTCTCCACTTGCCATTACTAAGACATCTTTGTAAAGGTTATCCAGCTCTTTTGCTGCCTTCTGACTTTCACACCTTCACCCGCCATCATCGCGTTTGTTTGTACACTATGATAACCTTACCGTATTCCTTTGCAACACAAGCTGCTAGGCACATGAACACCGACATTAGACATGATTGCTCCACTAAAGTTCCGGTTTCATTAACAGTTGATCGGAGCACCTGCAGTTCGTACCAGTGCATACAGGGGGCCGACACTATTTTTAGGACACTTTGAAAAGTGTGCTTAAAGGTGTTTTTTGCAGCCGAGAGCTTTTGAGTTGATGAGTAGGCAGTTCAGTAGTAACTGTCCGTTAATGGTATGAACATTGATTGATGGGTTTGTCTTTGGTTTTCTTTATTTTTACTTCAACTTAGGCGACACTATTTTTCAGACATGACACAAATTCAGGGTTTTTTAATGATTTAGTCGTCGAACGTCTACAATATGCAAATTTTCCGTAGCTAAATTGTACCCTGGCCATTACATTTGCGTATCTTTACCATTCACTGCGAAAACGTATTAAAATCCTGAAGAAGAATGCATTCAAAAGAAGTCATCAGTTTGGTCCAAAGGAAGAGAGAAGACGGGCTCAGCATCCGAAAGATCGCCGCTGAGATGAAAGAAGTCAACAGTTAAATACATGGTAAGTACAGACTATGAGCGGAAGAAGAAGAAAGAGAGGACGAAAAAAACAATTTCAAAAGAACAGAAAGAAGAATGAAGAGGAGTGTTACGAGGTTGTTATCATCTCAGCGAAGAAAGTAAAGGAGAAGTGTGAATTTGACGTCAGTGTTCGAACTGTACAAAGAAAGCTGAAATTGACTTAAGTATGCTAAAATCAAGAAAAAATACACTAACGATAAAACACAACGAGGCAAAGCTGGAAGCGCCAAAAGATGGATAACAAACCATGTCGGAAAGTGATATTTACTGATGAAAAACGTTTTAAGTTCGATGGACCTGATGGTGTACATAGTCGAGAAAAAGTGAACCTGTTATTCGTAACAATAGACAGATGGAAAACATGGTTTGGGGTATGGTATTTCCGAATGGAAACTTGTGGCTCGAGTAGTTAAAAGGACGTCAAAATAGCTTGAGCTACAGAGAACTTTTGGAAAAGAGAGCCCTACCACTCATAGAAAAATAAATGGGAAGTAATTTTATTTTGCAGCAAGATAACTGCAGCATCCATGTGGCCGAATCAGTGAAAGATTGGATGTGTGAAGCAAATATAACTACTCTGGAATGGCCTGCAAGAAGTCCAGACTTAAATTTAATTGAAAACATATGGGAAATGCTTGCAGAGCTTGTTTACGACGAGCCAGAAATAACCATAGAGGTTGAACTATGGCAGTGCATACAAGATGCTAAAAACAGACTGCTAGAAACACGAAGAGACGTTATTATCAATATGTACGAACATTATGACGATAGACTGATGGAAGTCATTGAAAAAAGGGTGCTGCCATAAACTATTAGCATTGTTTCTGCAATGTCCGAAAAATACTGTCACCTGTGTAATGTGAAAATTTGTAAAAAAATAAAAATACTTCTAATTTGAATTCTGCTTTTCCATTTGTAGTATTGAAACAGTTTTTAAATGTTATTGCCATTACACTAAAACAATACAGACTGCCTGTGCTACCTAAAACTTGAAAAAATAAAGTGTCTGAAAAATAGTGTCGCCCCCCTGTACAAGCACATTCACACTTGAGAAGCTTCGGAGTTCGTTTGTCACAAAAGTCAAGTGCGTCTACGAAATTTAGGCTTCTGCTTCCATATACCCTTTACGGCTGCCATGGGTGAAACATGTCAGCCATACGGCTCTAGTGTTTTGTTTGTAGTCGTGTAAAAAAAAAAACCTAAAAACACACGCCAAGTACCGCGACCCCGGTCGGTTTTCATAAGCTCTCAGCCGTGGTGTTGAGTGCGACTGAAGAGAATGCACTTTTTCATTGCAATTGAGGCGCTCAGCCGTACGGCGACCCCGGTCCGGTTCCATGAGCTCTCAGCGTGAAGTTGACTGCGACTGAAGAGATGGCACTTCTTTATTGCAATTACGATGCTAGGCCTTACGGCTACCCCCGTTGCGGTTTTAAGGGCTCTCAGCCGCGATGTAGATAGTGACAGATCAGAATAAATGAAGTTATATCACAGAAATTTTCTTACCATGACACCCCATCACTGTTCGCTCTTCTCTCGGTTTTACGGTTCTGCTTTGTGGTCGTGGCAGCGCCGTCTTTTGGGCATAAGACGCGTCTTGTAGTTAGACAAGTTGTTTGTTTGTTTGTGATTGCGCATGGCACATACTTTATATCTATGGCTTCCTCATGGCACGTTTTCCCTTCAATCCCTATGCATGTTGCAACTAAATCGTGGTTTCTTGACAAGTGCTTCCAGCAATGCTTAACAGTCCAATTGTTTAAAGCAGTAACTGCTGCCAGCTTTTACTCACAGATGTCTTAGTAATGACAAATGACTGATGCTACAAAGGCTTTCCGTTATTTCCTTCGATACCTTCGAATACTTGGGCCTGCATGATGTTTGCTTAAACTTTGTGTGCATTGGGTTTCAACGTTTTGTAGAAACTTAGTTCCTGTCGACTTACAAAGCACATCTTTCAAAGCACATCTTTCAAAGCAACAGCCGTCCTCAATTCATACTGTTACATCCCCGGGCAACGCCGGGCTCTACTGCTAGTATTTAAATAAATACAAATTACTAATTCGAAAAGCTTCGTGACTAGAAAGAATCTGAAATTGAAATTTTTAAAAAATATGTCATATCAAACAACAACAAATGACAATGTGATCAATGCTTTAGGAGCAATTTTAAATAATATGCAAATAAACCTTTTCTAATGCCCTGGTGAGAAAAGCTTGACCGAAATGCAGAAAATTCTCACTTCCTTAAGAAAATTTCATTAATTTCACTTTTTCCTGGATAATTTTGTGTTTGTTTTCGAAAAATTCTTAAAGATTTCTTTCGAAGTTTTTTATAATTTCAATTTTAAAAATTCAAATTATAAAAAAAAATCGTAAGAAATTTTATTCATTTTTTTTAATGTTTAAACCATCATAATTTCACTTCCCTTAACATGTCAGGAAATTAATTTTCAATAATTTTAACAATAAAAATCTGGTTATGTGATTTTCGTCCGTTTTCAGTTTTGTTGTTTTTACCCCGCCATTCACGACTGTTGAACTAAACACATTGCTAGAAATTAAAGCATCACTGCTGGGCAGTCTCTTGACGTTTCCAGTAGAAACATGAGAGCAGCAAGTATTTCAAAGAAGCCTATTCCAAACATACTACTACTACGACTATGACGATGATAGAAAATATTCGCCAAGGGTAAACAGCAAAGATGTTTATATTGGTTTCTCACAGCTGGCTTGGTGTCTAAAACAAAGTCGTTTATAGTTTCAACGCAAGAACAACTAGAAACTATTAATGGGAGTGCCATGAAAAAAACGAATATTTCCCATTTTTGTTTCTCCATTGTCGGCCTTATTATATCCGCAATACACAAAACGGAACAGAATAGTTGAAAGAAAGGAAGGACAAACATACATTGTTCTCAAAGTGATTACTTATACCGATATACACATATTTATAAGTGATTTGTCCTACAGAGAAACTATGACATGTGTATACAGCCAGCTGTAGAAAAGAATGTGTATTTTACTTGTATTATTTTTCAAAGAAAAACATGAACATTTGTGTTTCACATGCGACTATATCGTTTTCTCTCTATATGCCCTATCGATGTGTGCTTTTTATATAGCAACTGATGTTCGACACTATAAACTAACGTCATTCACTGGACGTCATGTCACATTCATGACTTCGTCTCTACCAAACTGAAATAATAGCCGCTTGCATCCCCATACTATGAACTAACTAGAAATTTTCAACTAACAACCAGAACATATCAGCATAGCATTCTCAAACATAATGTCAGCAGTCTGAATAATGTATATAATGTAAAATCATAAAAATTCGCAATTTAATCGAGTATGTACGGTATGTGCTGTGGAATTTACTAGATCAAGAATACGGATAAATTTGTCAAAGTTTTGTTGGATAAAATTTGCTCGTTCAGCAAATGCAAATATTTCAAATTGTTCAACAGTAAGTAAATACAACGCCCTAAATTTTAATTCAGTAAATTTGGCATCTCAAAACTCAGGCAATCTCAATTTTAACTAAGAATATACCAAAAACATATAAAGGATCATGTTTCTCTACTACCAACTGAACAGAGTTTTGTAGTAATGGAAAAAATGAAACTCATGACTATTGCTCACATCTTAAGGAAAGTCTTATCAATAGTTATGCGGTAGTATTTCAAGGACGTATAACAATGCAATTTGCTTGTACAATATGTTTACAGAATTGGACACATTTTATAATGATTTCTATTTCATATTTTGAATCTTCTAGAAATTTACTGTCAAAATTTACATTTTCATGGACCGATACCATTTTCATCAATAAAGATACATTCAACGATCACTTCCTTGTATCAAATTTATTTTTTATCTGCTCTGCAAAGTTGCTGATAATTATCAATAATTTAAAAAAAATATATTGAAAATACATTTTACATAGATAAAATCTTTTGTAATGTAAAGTGTGAGCTATAGCGTCATTTATTTTCTCAGTGCCTGTTGGGACTTAAACTCCACTTATACCTCAGATGGAACTTGTACATACGACCTAATACTAAATATGTTCAGAAAATGGTCGGTTCCCTGTACTTCTCAAGTAAGTCCCCAACCTGCTAGCCTCTAACTTGACAAGAGCGAGATAAGACCGATCAGAGAGTACTAAATCTATACATGGTTTGATGGGTATATTGTCGACATTTTATATTTTTAATTTCGCCCATGCGGGTTGTGTGTTTTTGTTTTCATCGATTTCACATGAAAGTAGCGTCCGTTGAGTACCGTCTGTGAGATAAAGAGCACCATAACGCTAATCACTCCCCCAGAAATTTGGAAACTATTTGTTCTACTTCTTTGCATTTACACCGGAACTCAAATACAAACATTTCAGATTGTTTGGGTGTCAGTCTGAGGACAGTGCAAACGATTCGGAAAGAGTTGGATGAGTCTATGGCGATAGGTGTTTAGAGATGGTGACGTTGTGCCTCCATTCATCTTCCCGCAGGATCTCAGACTCAACGCGGAGGACTACATCAAGTGCCTGGAGGAGATAGTGCTGCCCTGGGTCAAGAGGGTGGCTGCTGGTAGAGCCTATGTTTGGCAACAGGACTCGACATCATGCCACCCAAGCAGGCGAACACAGTCTTGGTTTTCAGACAATTTCTGCGAACACATCAACCCTTACATCTGACCACCCAGCAATCCCTTTGATAATTATGTTGGGAGAGTATTTGAGCGAGCAACTTCTTGTAACGCCAAAGTTGAACTGAAGACAAGGATCATAGCAGCATTCACCCGCTTAAACAAGGAGACCGTCCAGAGGAGTTGCAGGAGATTCTTAAGTGATTTAAAGCTGATGGTGATTTTACTAAGTAAATTTGCTCTTTAGCATTTCAAGATATTTTTGCGTAATTTTGGTAAATGTATCTGTTAAAATGAGATATCAGTGTTCCTTTTTGCGCAATTTAGACGACAATTCATCCATCGTACAATGTATATAGGTAGGATCTTCACAGTCTTCACTTTCCAGTCGAAAAGCGTCTTCTCGTCTCGTGAGCGATGAATTATTTTCTATCCTACAACTTCAATCTCACAGACGAAACGCCTCAAGAATGTCACTTTTATGTCGCTATCTCCATAGGATGTGTTCAGATGAATTACATTCCTTAGTTCCAGAATTTCTAACCTTCACGGTTAGGATCCGTCATTCTACGCATATTGTAGGGAACCACCCGCACCCCCTTTGCATAACATTGGTGAGATGTAAGTTCCACACGAGCAGCTTCTTCCCACGAACCGCTATTTTCCCCGATTACTAGAATCTTAACCCATTCAATCTAAGGTTAACATCTCATCTTCTGTAACGTTCTACCTTGAGTTGCTCTTTCGCTTTGCACAGGGATAACGTCATTATATAAGACGGTTATAAAACTTCTTTGTGCACATACTTCCTGGTATTAATATTATTGTTGTTGTTTTGTCATTATTATTATTGTTATTGTTGTTTCCTTGATTTCTGCTGATTACACTTTCAGATTTTATCGGTTTCAAAATGTCTGGAATTTTTTCTCCTGAGACGAAAAAGCACATTGCATTTTCATTGTTTTCAATTTATGAATTAGTATTTTCAGTTTCACACTTAGAATTATTCAACGCCCGATAAATTTTACAATTTTAATTACTCTTATTATTTCGTGACATATGCACTTAAGTGAGTCGAATGATTTGATGAAATTAGACATTTCCTTGTCTGGAATAAATCGACTTTTTAAATGCAAAAATATTCTTCTTCGTCTTCTCCTCTTCCTCCTCCTTTTTCTTTGTTTTCTTCTTTTTCTTCTCATCCTCATTCTCCTTCTTCTCCTCTTCCTTCTTCTTCCATTGCGTCTCCTCCTCTAATAATAAACGAGCATCTGGATTAAAGTCTGAAACTGAAGGCTTTATTCTTGCAGCGCAAGACCAGATTTTTTCTAGGAATTTTCAGGCAAATATCATACATAATAATGTGGATCCAAATGCAGGTTCTGGGACAAATACCAAGAAACAATAGACCATCTAATCTGCGTGCCCCAAATGAATATTAGTACTTACATTGTCACTTTGGAAAATGTGTAAGCAAACACTGAAATGAACATCGGCCAGCGCCGGTTACAGAAATAGAAGATGTCACCATTCTATGGGATTATACCATCCACACAGACAGAAAAATTGAAGCAAATAGGCTGGAAATTGTTAATTGATATTTTGTCCAGCGGATTGTAACATAGCAACCAAGGAATTTGAAAAACTATCAAAATACAAAGACCTGGAAATTGAAATAGAAAAAATGTGG